TAGACTTAATAACGCCTAACAACATCTACCTTCGAAACCCGTAATCATCTAATTTACCATTTTCGGCCGGTCCCGGCCGGGCATTATATCCAATAAAGATTCTAAACGCTAAACACGCTGCACTTGGAACAAGAGTTTATCGCGCGCGATCTTATAGCAAACAAGCGGCCGTTGGAAACGGGGCAAGACTTGGTTCCTTAACACAGTGCACGCTTAATAAAACATAAATTCTGTTATGGCAGGGCGGCGTGGGATGAGGTCAGCCGACAAAAGGAAAGTGCTCGTTCTTTCTTCACCTGATAAGACTGTTTCCTCCGCTACAAACAGTCCAGGCTAACAATGAGGTATGCCGGTTACGCAATAAAACGCGCCTCTGTGTATTCGTACGTGTTCATAACCGTCGATTGTGCAATGGAAACGTAGCTGTACACAGGATAACGCAACGTTTCCAACGAGAAAAGGACAAAAAGATTAAGAACGAAACGTGTAGGTACTGGAATCGTTATACTGATTGTGTTTGGGGCTATTATTTAACGATCACTTGAATAAACGAAGAAAAGGGATTTTAAGAAACGTCGACACGTGTCGGGTATGGTTGTCCGATTGGTGTGATATCGAATAATACACATCACGCAATACAAGTCGATATGCTGATTTAGCAGGTATACTTCGTTTCGACGCATACGCTGTGTCATTATTGTTATGCAACTAATCGTTGGCGAACGACAAGTGGAATCGGTCTGTCGATCGGTTTCAACGCGTCCTTCGTTACGTGTTTTATGAACCGACGTTTTATGACTGGAGAAAAATTCACCGTGAAGGTGATTCTTTTTTGTTCTTTTCTTTTTTTTTTCACGAGTATAATTCCACGAGGAGTTAAGATGGTTAATTACTACTGTGAGAGAAGAGGAGGGTTTTCCTTTTTTTTTTGTGTGGCTTATTGACGAGGTGTTAAACCTTATCATTATGGAAGTAACGAAGACACCGAGGTCAAATTTGAGTACACTATTCATTTCCTTTATCACACACGTGGTGTAATCTGCTCGATGACTTCACGTATTGGTGAATGCAACGTTGTTCGAAGGCAGAATCGTTTAAGTGACTTTGCTTTAACGCGAGGAAGCGAGGCTGGCCAAAGTCTTCGCGTTGTGTTCGCGTAATTTGCGATAATAAAAGTTTGTACTGCCAACGCGACCAAAGAGTCTTCTTCCTTGGAATTCTGACTTAAAAATGTTCGAAATCGCGCCGAAAATGGGTGATTCGCGAATTAAAAAGGAAAATAAACTCGGTGAGATGAATCTTAACTTAAAAATTATCCCGATCGCGCCAAAAATTGGTGATTCGCGAATAAAAAAAGGAGACAAAATCCACGTGACGAATTCTAACCTGAAAATTTTTCAAATCGCGCGAAAAATAGAGAATTCGCGAATTAAAAAGGAAAATAAACTCGGTGAGATGAATCTTAACTTAAAAATTATCCCGATCGCGCCAAAAATGGGTGATTCGCGAATAAAAAAAGAAGACAAAATCCACGTGACGAATCTTACCTTAAAAATTTTCCAAATCGCGGAAAAAATAAGTAATTCGCGCATAAAAAAAAAGAGACGAACTCGGTGAAAATAGCGTTCGTCACGGTAACGCATGAATTAACAAGATCCACTTAATTAAGGAGTCTCACAGCGGTGCACCAAGAGACGTCTGTTACGCACCGTTCGTCGCTCACTCTTTAAAGGCCTTTAAGGCCTTAAGGCGCCTTCTAATTATTCACTTTCTCCGACGTCTCGCGGTGAAACGACCGAGATTTACAGTCTTTACGAGCAGCTCCGATGTAATTTCGACGATAGTTCGAACGAAAGAGAGGGACGACAATGCACCCTATCAACCGATTCTCACTCGCTTCCGCGTTCTTCATCTCCGCAGGAGACGTTCGTTTATCCATTCTTCTTCGCTACGATCTTTCTCCTCCACCTTTTCTTATTTCACTTTGCTACTTACACCCGTTGATTTTACTGGCCCGTTACTACATCGTCAAGTATGTAATTGAAGATTGTTTTTACACGGAGATTTTGATTAAGCTCCGGATCGAGCACTGATTTTTCGTATAAATCAGAGGTTAGAATCCTACGAACAGCGATATATATGTATGTGCATAAAGGTACCCTTTTCATTAAACGAAACGCTATAGTAAAGATACTAATGAGAGTGATTTACGAAGGAGAGAAGCGGTATGAACCGTTGGAATCTGATGTCTGCGGGTTTCGGGATGATATATGGCTGTTCGTGACGTGGAGATAATTCGAAAGTTCGTCCGCCTTTTTTCTCGTAATTATGTAACGTTAGTCTTATCTGCCTTTGTGACGTTAATATACTTCTGTAGTTTGTTTCGTCGATGGCCTGCCTTCTTGTTTCAGGATTGTAATTTTCGGGGTATTTAATGGGGGATTAAAGGTGAGGGAAGTGGTGCGCTGCAAATTCGCCTCGTTACACCAAGGCCGGGGAAAAAAAATTCCTCGTAACGTACAGCGAGAAAAACATTTCTCTTACGATTTTCGAGCAGGTAAGCTGCAAGGAGCACAAATTTAAACTCGACGATCAAAATTGAAACGATGATAAGAAGCACGCAAATTTAAAAAACACCTCGACGATAATTGAAAATCTTTAAAAATGACAAGCAAATGAAATTTACCATTACCAAATAAATTCTCTGTAATACACAATAAAGAATTTAAATCGCAAAGCACCCAAATTGAAAAGAAAAACCCTCAAGATCAATAATAAATATTAAAAGTCTTCACCTCCGGGGAGAGAAATTGGAAATAAAAAGGACAACAGCAGAGCGCAATTTTCATACACGAAAAGCATCACGCCACAATGGAACTTCTCTCGTATCAAGCACTTGGCAAGATTCACCTCGTCTGTCAACCGGAAGCTGAGGATCCCCCGGTTCCTCCGCGACTCGAAGAAAAACTCGCGGAAGCTCGGGCTGGCAGCTGTCACGGAAAATGAAGGGAGAGTCCGTGTTGATCGAGGCCAAACACGGTCATCCATGAAACCGCTTTCTATTCGTACGTTTCTCGGCGACGCGGGACGTGGCGCACGCTGCAACGCGCACGCTCCATTCGATAATCGATCGTTCGAATTCACGCTCTTCGCGCCTCGATCCAACGCCTCGCGTGATATCACAGAAACCATTCGCACAAACACACGTAAGTTCTAATCGATTCTCGTTGCAAACGGTGATCGATAACTCCTTCGAACGCGAAACCATTATTCATTGGAAACGACTGTGTTACGACAATAACACTCTATTCGAGGACAAGAATCGAAGAGAACCGTCGGGTTGGTAATATCCACACAGCCCGATTTCTCCCTTTCCAAGCGGGAAAAAGAAGAAACGCGACGATAACGGAGTGGAAATTAATATGGCAGCGTTCGAACAGGAGCTCACGATCGATATAAATCTCTTCGCGAGCAGAGAAGAGGGTATTGGTACGGGGCGGCGAAATCGAGCTTTCGGTGTGTCTTATCGATCGGGAGGCCGGGAAAAAATTCTGTATACGAAGCGTTAAGCGATCGTGCGTCGCCGTCGTTGCGGGAGAAAGTTTAGAAAGGAACGTAGGCCGATCCGTAGTTCGCGGTCGTAAATATAAAACGAGGGAAAAAAACCGGACACCCGGGGATCGAACTGTTTACATTTCGCAGTCACGTTGTCGCGGCCGAGTTGGCGTAAAATTGGCGAAAAGAAGGAATCGTGCGATACAGGCAGACGAAAGTGTAATACTTCACTTTTTTTTTTTTCTTGTCGCTGTTACGTCGTCTTCTGTGGACACTCGGTATACGAACAGTGAGCGACGAAAGTTTGGGACAGTTTAATGGTTCACGTTTAGATTCCATTTTTTACCAGTTTGCAATTAAAACTACGGAAATTTACTTCGATTTGTTTGGTTTGGGTGATAAAAAATTCATAGTGCTCGCTAAGTATATGAAAGCTAAGCAACGAAAGTTTGGGGCCATTTAATGGTTCACACTGAGTTTGAATTTTTTACCCATATTTTTATAATTTTGCAATTAAAGTTACAAGAATTTACTTCGATTTGTTTGCTTTGGGTAATAAAAACTTCATAGTGCTCGCTGAGTATGTGGATAGTAAGCAACGAAAGTTTGGGACCATTTAATGGTTCACACTGAGTTTGAATTTTTTACCCATATTTTTATAATTTTGCAATTAAAGTTACAAGAATTTACTTCGATTTGTTTGGTTTGGGTGATAAAAAATTCGAAGTGCTCGCTAAGTATATGAAAGCTAAGCAACGAAAGTTTGGGGCCATTTAATGGTTCACACTGAGTTTGAATTTTTTACCCATATTTTTATAATTTTGCAATTAAAGTTACAAGAATTTACTTCGATTTGTTTGGTTTGGGTGATAAAAAATTCGAAGTGCTCGCTAAGTATATGAAAGCTAAGCAACGAAAGTTTGGGACCATTTAATGGTTCACATCCAGACTAAATCTTTTGCAAATTTTTTTATAATTTCGCAATTAAATTTCCAAAATTCCGTCCAACTCTTCCATCCGTTTTGCAAAAAAGTAGAATGCAAATTAGAGGTTAAGTGTACGTTGCAGGAAAGATTGAAAAAATAAAAAAGGGTATCGATCGATTTGAGCGCGTCGAAGGAGGATCCAGAGGCAGGGTTGTGCACGCTTATCCTCGCTTTCTCGATAATGAGAAAATTGCGCGGTTCGATCGATCTTGTAACACGATCTCGCGATCATAGACTGTCGATAACGCGGCGAAGAGTGCCCGGGGCATCGAAACGGAAGTGATCGATGGCCCGGACGCGGCATTTCCGATCTCCACCTTCGATCGTTTCACCACGCTTCCGCGCCGAGAGTCTAACCTTAACGCCCGTGTGAGATCGAGGGAGAAAGGCGGAGAGCAACGTAGAGAGGAGTTTTTCAATTAAAGATAGAAAGATCATTTTCTCATTTTCATCGCTCACCTTCGTCCGATTCAGCGGATTCGAAAAGTCCCAGCCTGGGGCGACGAACAGGTATCCGCATTTTGAAATCTTCCTCGTTGCCTGCAACAGAAAATGTATACGATCATTTTTTTTTTTTTTTTAATTTTCAAGTTTGATACAAAGGAAATTTCGTCGATTACGAATTACGATTTAACCCTTTCATTACTATTGGCGCCTGTAGGCGTTTGGAAAATTTGCTCGCACTACACTGTTTGGAGCCTTTTGCTGCACTTTCATCTTAATGTAATTCTTCATTTTATTCTCACGCACTTCCGTGTTAACACTTTACCGACCGGTAGCCTATTAATCGGCTTTTTGCCGCCAACGCTTACCGACCGGTAGCCTATTAATCCATTTTTTTTTTCGCCGACGCTTACCGACCGATAGCCTATTAATCCATTTTTTTTTCGCCGACGCTTACCGACCGATAGCCTATTAACCGGTCAAAGTTTGATTTAACATTTCTACAGGTATAAGAAAAAGCGCGTATATTCCCGCGCAATAACCTAGAGTCTAAACAGAGCCGGTGTCACCGATGTATCTGTGGCCGAGTGACCGAATTTTAAAACGATGCGACCAGTCGCGGTTAAAAATTTACAGTCAGTCACCCACGTTACGCGTTTAAAGCTGCCTAACCAAGTTAACCCTTCACGACCAAATTATTTCGTTAATCATCTTCTTATCTCGGGAAGAAAATTAAGAAAAGCTAGCAGACATCTATAGAGCGTCCTGAATGTCCGATTTCAAGAGAATTCGTCTATTATGAATTACGACTGAACTTCGTTGACCCTTCAACCCTTTCGCGACCCAATTATTTCGTTAATCATCTTCTTATCTCGAGAAGAAAATTAAGAAAGACTCGTAGACGTTTTCACGGCGTTCTAAATGTTCGATTTCTAGAGAAGCGTAACTTATGTAGATTAGGCGACTTTTCAAAGACACGAGATGAATAGAGAGAGGCGAGTACACAACAAACTGTGACCGCCTGCACCGGAGAAATCAGAATGAATTCGAGGCAGTCACACTTCGTCGCGTGCATTATGTGTTTCGTCACGTTGCATTGAACTTCTGACGTCGTTATTATTTCTATCGGGTACAAGGACTTTCTACGTAGTTTCACGTCGCGTAGAACTACCAGCTGTAGGCGGACACCGTAGAAATATGAACTGACAATGAGAGAAACGAGTGGACGTCGATATCTCGCAGATTAAGCTCGATGAGAAAATCGAACAAAAAAAAAAAAAAAATGTATCCATCTACCCTCATTAACAAGCTAATTTACTCGTCTCGTTCTCCTACATCCATTCCAAGACTCTCTACCTCGAGCAATTTCTGCAACGCCTCGATCTCCTTCGAGGTAGAAGAGAAAGATCGAAGAAAAAAAGAGAAGAAAGAAGGAAAGAAGAGGGAAGAAATAATGATTAAAAAAGTTGGAGCGGTGTGCATCGACGTCGACATTCCAGAGAAAACATCGACGGAATATCAACCACGAAAAGCAATCTCCCGTCGCGTCCATGGAAGCGAGCACAGCCTCTTCTCCATCCGCGGCGAGCTAATCAAACTTTCCAACAACGCCGGCTCTGCTGCTGCACGCCAGCAGATCCCTCTTCAAACTCTATTATTATGTTTAGAGGAAGATTTAGGGGCTACCGTCGGGATAGAGAAAAACGAGAGAGAGGGAGAGAGAGAGAGAGAAGATGATCTCTAGCGAAGGGCCTTTAGGTGGAAAAACAGTGTGTACACACGGCGGACAGAGAGGGACAGAGAAGTGGAAAGACAGAGGCGGCTAGCCATTCAGGTGGAAAGGAAAGCCACGTGGGGAGGTACAATATCTCTGAAGAATCATAAATCGGTCATTCATCAAGAGCAACGGTGGCGTACTACGTTTCCTCTACTCTGCGTTTCACGTATTTCCCTCGCGTGCATCGCGTTCCAACGATGGACGAAAGTGCTCGCCATTTTTTATAACAGCTTCGGGTTGGAATATTTAATTTTACGATCGGTACACATGATCTTCAAATGGGAATTTTATTTTTTAAAAAGGGATAAAAGTATAGCTTTTTTTATGGCTAATGAATTGAAAGTTACGAAATTTTTTATGATGACTTGGAAATTATATGAAAAATTGAAAGGTCAAGTGGACATTTGTCGATACGAAATGTGAGATCGTTTAGGATAGACAAAACTTTCTTTTATAGATGGTGCATTAATTAATTCTCGCGCCTTTCTATCTCATCTGAATATCTGAAACTAAGGCAAAATGTTTAAGGAGAGCTGTGTTAATATTGAAATTAATAAGAAAGCGGCAACTTTCCATCGCGAATGCTGCAACCACGAAATACATCTCCCCCGTAAGTTCTGTCTAATACGTAAAAATTCGCGAGCATACGTTTCCCCGAAAGTGAAGTAGAATCTTCATGAAAGTGATATCGTATTGGAATTAATCAGAAAGTATGAACTTTCTAACGCGAGTGCAGTAATCATAAGATGCATATGTGAGAGACCGGAGGCACTGCATGGGGAATGAACGGGGAGCGAAGAAGGGCGATTTGACGAAGTGCGCAGAGTGCACTGCGAATTGACACACATTGAAATGACGGAGCGTTCAAATTAAAAGGACGCGAATTGAAACGCGTCTCAACTTTCACGCTAGCAAATTGAAAAGCACTCGTACAGAAATGCGTTCAAGTTGAAAGCACTCGAATTGAAACGCGTCCGAAATGGTGACGCGTTCAAATTAAAAAGCGCTAGAATTGAAACGCTTTCGATTCGAAAAGCCCTTAAATCGAAATGCATTTGAATTGCAAAGCACTCGAATTGAACCGCGTCCAAATTAAAGAGCACTCAAATTGGAACGCGTTCAAATTGAAAAAGACTTGAATCGAAATGCGTTTAAATTGCAAAGCACTCGAATTTTCACGCGCGCAAATTGAAAAGCACTCACGCCGAAACGCGTTCAAATTGCAAAGCACTCAAGCTGGAGGGCCTCCAAATTAAAAAGCGCACGAATTGGAACGCGCCCAAGTTAAAAAGCACCCAAATTGGAACGCGCCCAAATTGAAAAGCACCCAGATTGGAACGCGCCCAAATTGAAAAGCACTCAAACCAAAACCCGTTCAACCTGCAAACCCCTGAAATGGAAACGCACCGAAATCCCAAAGTTACCCATCGAGAAACACTTTCGAAATCGGTACTCCGCACCGACGCTATTCCAATTATCTTCGACGCGCGGTATTAATCACGGGAAATCTGGGTCGCCGATCGTCGTTCTAGGTGAAATTTCTTCGGCTGTCGAACGCCGTGGACGAGGAGCGTGCAATTCCATGCCCCGGCAAGAGCAACTCTTCTCCTCCGACCAAGGGAAAAACAGTCGCAGATTCAGCTTTCGTAACGAGCGAAAGTGACGTCGTACGCGTCATCGTTTTCTCCATCTCCTCCTCCCCAACTCCGTATCAATATCGTATCTCCCTGTGTTTCCTCTGCACGGATGTTTTGGAAAGAGCACGAAACAAATCCACCGGCAACTATACCCACCTTACGTACAATACACATACTACAAACGGCTTCCGTCCCTGGACGGAAGTGGTTTCCGTGCACGCGGGAATAATGCATCGTGAAAGAGACGGCGCGAACTTCATTAACATATTTCCAAGGAAAACGATCTGTCGAAGGCGTTCGTACGGGGAAAGAGCGCGTAGAAGTATGCTTAGCTGCGTGGAAACGTGGCTGTTTCCTCCACCGTTTATCGTCCTCGATGAAATATTTATGGAAATACGCCGGTGTGGTGCGTGTATTTATTTCGACGTAGCCGTTACTACACGCTGGAGATGGAAGGAGCGAGTGACATACACGAGTCTCTGTGATTACTGCAGATGCGATGGAAAGTTGCTACTTTCTTCGTTGGGGATTCAGCTTCAGTTTCGGGCAAACTTGCGTACGAATCGTTCAGAAATTATTCTAATTGGCTCCGTTGGAAGGAAGAATGTTTTATTAAATAGAAGTAACAGTTCGACCTTCTTCTTCTGATTTTTAATATATCTCACTCGAGCACCGAGTAAGGAAAGATCCTTCTCATTCTTTTTTCTGAAAGTTCTACCTCCGATAAGAATCTGATAATCGGTTAATTATACAGCTGTAGGCTAGGAAGATGTACGATTAGAAGTTCGAAAGGAATTTGATCTACTTCGAATTGTGAAATTCGTGAAATTCTTATCCGCCTGGCAATCCACGATTTGCAATTTCATTTCAGAAATCTCCTCATTTGAAATTTCAATTCGGAACTTTCAGAATATGGTAGAGATTCTACTCGGTTGATTTTTAACCCTGTTTTAGAAGATTGTTCTTCGTTTGTGAGAAAAGAAATTACACGGATGACGATAGTTTCTTACTCCGGTGGGAAAAAAAGAAATAGGAGTAACGATTGCTATAGATAGATCGTTCGATAGCGGTGCAATAGTATGATACAGAGAATGGTGGAATACAATAGTACAGTAATGAGCAGGCACAATAAGACTTAGGAAATGTACACTACCTATTATAGAAGCATCTTTCTGAAATGAAACTCAGCCAACGAAGTACCTATTAGGGCTAAAAGAAACTTTGAATTGTCCGACTATTCGAATCATTTGGATCGTTTCGAGTAAGAATTCTTTACTCGAATAAATCGGATAATTCGAATCATTCGTATAATTTGGATCATTTCGAATAAGAATTCTTTATTCGAATAACTCGGATATTCGGGTAATTCGAATAATTCGGAAAATTCGTATAATTCGAATAAGAATTCTTTATTCGAATAACTCGGGTAATTCGGATAATTCGAATCATTCGTATAATTTGGATCATTTCGAATAAGAATTCTTTCTTCGAATAACTCGGGTAATTCGGATAATTCGAATCATTCGGAAAATTCATATAATTCGGATAATTCGAATAATTCGGATACTGAAAGTGTTTGAATCTCAAATTGCGCCGAATATTTCACACGTTCCGAATACTCGAACAACAGCGGAATTCGAATTTCAACTCGGAACAGTTGAGAAGTATCCGAATAACTGGAA